GTTGCAGTGACAGAGCTGCTGTACTGGTTGAGCTGGTGCCCAGCAGCACTGAGTTTTCCAGTGCCTCATCTCCATCCCAAGCTGAAATGGCCCCCATGTCTGAGGCATACCCCAACAATGAGTTTAGTGTTGAAAGGATGCAAATGGACAGGAGGTAGTAAGCAGAGCTGTGAGGACAAGTTTCAGATTGAAGATTTGGTCCCACAGTAAATGAAAACATAAACTTTATTTTATAGGGAAACACACGCATGCACCCATAAACGTCTAAAGCTCCTGGGAAAACACTTCATAGCTTCCTTTGCTCTACAGTGAGGGAGGCTAATTGAGATTCTCCTAGAGAAATCTCTTTCTTTCCTTCTGTGGCCATGAGAAGACTCATTAAGCCTTCTATTCTCTACTCTTTCCCAGCCCCTGACTCTGCTTAGCCCAAGTGCTAAAGCCCAGGAGTGATGTCCAAGATTCCATTAAGCTCGCTCCCTGCCCCCAGGCTTGCATGGGAACAGAGCCTTGCCCCCAGGCTGACAAATTCAGAAGGAAGCCATCTGGCCTGAAGCTTGCCTTTCTACTCCGTGGATAATACTTGAAATAATATCTGCAGAACTTTAAGGCTACTTTTACCTATGCTGATGTATTGTTCCTCTGTGGAGGGGGGCTGGATGGGAAAATTTCTCTGAAACGGTCTTCCCTATCTGCCAATGGCTACTTTTTATTCCTGATAAAGCAATCCATTCAAAACCCTCACAATGTCATAATCATCTTCACTTTTAAGTATCTTTTTCAAGTGACCCCTTAAATAACAAGCCCTTTCCTTTCTCCCTACCTGTGGTTACTTTCCCGTTGCGAACGGTGTTGGTGAGGAGCTGGGGCAGCCCACCTTCTCTGGAAATGGGGGTGGGGAGGCTTATGAAAGAAAAGGGCAATGCAGGACCCAAGGCAAGTAGGGCTCCTGACTTTTCCCCCTTTCATTATGTGTGTCCACTGAGCTGTCCTGTTTCTGTTTGTGATGGGTTCTTCTGTGGCAAGCTGACCTTTTGGCTGAATAGGTCAAACTCCCACTGAGCACTAATCCTCAGCCTTTCTGGCCTTTGTACCTCCCCAAAGGTGACAAGCCCTGGTTAGGAATATGACTGGCGGAGTGGGGTATATTTTCCAAAAGAGGGATTGTCTTTTGCTGCAATGAATTAATTCTCAAAGACTGCCTCACAAGGTTACGCAGAAGAGTCTAGATATCTTCTTCATTATGCATGAGTCTAGATTAGAGCATTTTTGCCAAAGTTGTTAGAGGACAAAACTAATTTTTCACATACATGTTTTGGATTGTGGTTTCCTTCTGTGGCTTCTACTTTTTTTCATAGAGAAAGGACAAATGTGCGGTCCTAATGATTCCTCATATTTTAGTTTTCTGAGACAATCAGCATTTCTTTAGTTGATTTTTAAGAATGTTTTTCCCTATATATCTCCTCTATTTAAAATACTTCAAAACTCTAGGTATTTTATCTTGAACAACATTGCAAAACATGAGATAATTGTGTTGTGGTATTTGTTGATGATTATGTGCTGGGCCTAGGTTTATTTTCAATTGCTTAAAATTTTCTTTTGTACTATGTTTTAAGTTTCTTAATAAATACAGCAATTAGCAATTTTAAACATCAAATAGTTACTCAGTAAATGAGGGATTGAGTTTGAAGTTGAATTACTATATTACTGTGGGTTTTTTAACAGTTTGTGTAAACTGTTCAGCTTATAAAACTCTCGCATTTCACTATCAGTGAGTAGGGACATAATCTTCACAGAAAAGCAATTACATGTTTCATTTATTTAGCAATGCACCGTGTATGTTCATTTTGTTTAGTTAGTGTTCTTTAAATTTCAAAAAGTATTTTTTAATTGGACAAAGAAATAAATGAAATATATCATTAGATCAGATGAAACAATGATCTCTTCAGCAGTAATAAACGTGTATTTTGTCTGGGCTACCAAACAGTTTTAGAAAATGTCAATTTCAAGAATCCAAAAACCCGACAGAGCTGTGTAAGCAATGTATTGCTTTTCTGAGGATGATGGACCTATTGAGGAAAATGCCTCTTTAGTTTTGGTTTATTCGTTAATGATATTGTATAAATACAATGTGATTAACCTGGAGAAACAAAATAACTATTTGCACTGTTCCCAAGTTATCAAATTATTGTCTTAAACTCAAAATGCCAAATGCAATAGGAGAAAGAGTACAAGATAAGAAGTACATTTGTAACATCTATTCAGTTACCAGTAATGCCAGAGTCAGAGCGGGTCTTCTACCAGGGACATAATGGCCTCCTGTTTAACATATTTATGTTGGTTGTAAAATTAGGAACTGTCATTATAGCCCCACATCACCTGCATAAGTGCAAAACATATAAATCATGAGAAATTCCAGTGCCATAAAAATGCCATTGAGTAGAATAGCATGAAACCACTTATAAGATACCTGTGTATTCTGCTAGCATGTACTGGGATGCACGCTCAGATTTCTAGAGGATTCGAAGGACAGAGAGGAATAACTATGCAGGTAGAACTCGTGGATGTGAGACCTGATGAAGACATTGGGATCCCCAGGTTGACTAATAAATTTTCTTACATAAAATCCCTAAATATTTATGCACTTGCAGCATTTACTGAGAGGACAGCCTGAGTCCTAAGTGGGGAAAAGGATAGAAAAGAAGGGCCATCAGTGGCCGGGCTTAGATGACCCCTGCAGCCCCCTGCAGAAGTCAGCTGTGCTTCTAGAAGTCAGTTAAGCTGCCATCTGTCATTCCTGGAACATGCCTCTTGGACCTTCTTGCAAATGCACTCTTTACGTTGCCTGTGATGTTCTAGGTTCTCCTGTAGAGTGGTGACTGTTATTCTCCTGGCCTCCATTTAATCCAGTTCTTTGTAGAAAAATCTATGTTCTCTAAAATTAGTTGATTTTCTTTTGTGAGGTGCAGTGGTTCATTTTAAACATTGTAATCCGAAGTCCTAAAATGCCCCAAACTATGAACTATTTAATATGGAGCTTTCTGGATTTCAATTACTGCCTCAAAAATGGATGGAGACTTTTGAAGTTTTTCAACTCCCCCTTCTCCTTCTCACTGCCACCCCCACCCCCGCCCCCGGCCCACCCTCCGCCACCAACAATCTTAGGAGGAAAAAAAAAAAAGACTGCAGATTTTATTCATATGGGATCATTCACACCAAGCTACCATAATGTGCAATTAACACTCTAGAAACTGAAAACAGTATTCAGCAAGACAGCTGCATTATCAAAAATGCCAAAGGAGTTTTGAAGGGAGTAATGTGCATGTTAGAATAGGAAATTAATCAGAAACACACACACACAGAGTGGGACTTTCCTAAGTAGATCTGAATATTAAAAATTTTAAAATCTTGTGTCTATACTTATAAAAAAGATTAATCTTAGGATAGAAAATTGATTTTTCTGTTTTAAGATGATTACTTGTGTGTTTTCCTTCTGAAATGAATGAGGAAGTTGAAATAGAGATCTCTAAGATCCCTGCCAGCTGGAATATTCTTTGATAATAATCACTCTTCAATTATATTTTATAAATTTTGCCATTGAAACAAAATGCCCCTTTTATTTCCCCTTGCCAGTAATAATGATACTTAACACTCATGCAATTTTCAAAGTGCCTTTCAGACACTGCAGACACTAACTTGCAATTGCAGGGGTAAACTGCCTACTTTTGCACAGCACAATAACCACAAGTACATTTATATTATAATCCCTACTAAGCTACGGCTCCAACTGACTGACTTAGTAACTGAAACGAAGCAGAATTATCCCAGTAGCATTATGCTGAAATTTTCTTGTCAACTGCTGGAAGTGTTTTTTAGAAGAAAGTAGGGGTTTTTTATTTTATCTTCCATTCATAGTGTCTAGGTTTGAGGGAACAGAGGTTTGTAATAAAAATTTCAAGAAAAGCAGAAAGATGTGGGGGACTTACTTGGTGGAAATATGAAAAAGATCTGAATTTTTTTTCATAAATAACTGTAAATCAAACAGATATTTATGTTTGAAAACTAAGAAGCGGGGGAGATACCCGGAACAGAATTAAAATCAAATTGTGATCACATACCAAAAAATGTGTATAGAGAAGACCCTTAATTATGGATCCCACAAATATCATGCATTAATAAGCTCATTGTTGTTAAAGATTGGGGTGCTCCTTGAGTGCCGGTGCCTGCAGACAGCACACGGAGTGTGTGCCAGGAATAGCAGGACCGACTGCACGAGAGAACAGGAGGATTCAAATCAGGATACAGTCCCTGACCTGGTGAGGCACATGCTGACCACGAGTCCACCTGGGCTTCCAAGCCATCCTATAGGAATACTTACATGAGAATGTTCAGTAAATGCAAAAATCCAGCCATTCCGAGACACTTAACACTAGTGTAGACAGTCGTTAATGAGAATCTCTTCTCCGGCATATTGTGCTTATTAAATCATGATAAAGTTGTTGCATGAGAACACTAAAACATTCTCATTTGCTTTCTTGCTAGCCTAGAGACTATGGAAAGTTTAGGTTTTGTTTTGGTGGGGGAAAGGCAGGATGTGTATACTTTAAAAGTACTTAAGTTTTAAGAAAAATAGTTTACTAATTTATTTTCAGGGAATGTGAACATCCATGTTTTTGCTCTAGTATTGGAAAAACAATGCAAAATGAATTCTTCTAAAAGTCTGGGTGTCGTTTTTAATGTTTGTAGAAGTTGTCATCTGAGTTGAAACTCCAACCTAGGTTCTGCTTACACGCAGGAACTCTGAACCAAATTAACGCTGGGCTGTGATTCTTTGAGGTGCCATTCACATGGTAACTAGCTAGTGATGCGATTAAAGAGAAATTAAACTGAAGGTATGAATCAGAGCTCCAACTTAATTTTTTTCTTTTCTTTTCTTTCTTCCTTTCTGTTTCTTTTTCTGTTTTTTTTTTCCTTTCCTCTCCTTTCTTTTTTTTTTCTCTAAGTTATAGGTGCACAACGAAGGAGAAGCCCCAGTGCACTGGCCATTGAAGTATTTGAAGCACATTTGGGAAGTCACATTTTGCAGGTACCTTTAAAAGAAAAAGAAGCTTGATTATACTTTACTAAGGAAAAATCAATATATTTAGTCTTTTATTAATTTTTTATTTCAGCTATCTATATGGCTGTTGTTATTTCATCTTGGAATTCTGAAATTCTTATGAATCCATTTTTTTTTCTTTTTAGAAAGTCATCCCTTGAGAGAATATTAATGAGGAAGGGAGGGCAAGTATTATTTGTAATAATTGAAATGAATGGCACTACTCAGTCGATGCTCAATGTATAGTAGCTGGCTGTCCCCAGAATGACAGTGTGTGTGCTGCATTTGTAAGTGGATACGTGTGTGTCTGTGGAGCTATATATTGTTTTAGAAAGAGCAAAATTTTGTGTAAGTAATGTGACATTTTTTGTGTGTGTTGCCAAATTTCAGTTGTTCTTTGCTTGAGTTTGCATTCATAAGTGCTTCCAATCTTGATGTTTGTCTCTCCTCCAAATTACAAACTTTCTCAGGATGAAATTTTCAAGTATCTTTTAAGTGAAAGGAGGAAAATAATAATAATATAATTTTGCCAATGAATTTCATGACAGATAAATGTGAGGGTGACTGGGATGGACCTGCAGTTATGTATTTGAGAGCAGTTTCATGCCAAACTCAGCATCTCATTTACTCAAGACATTTTTCCCAAAGAATTTGCCATCAACTCAACACATCCATGAACAATTGTTCTACATTGTTTCTGCTTCCCAGGTAGATGTTGCCATAGCCAAAGGTTTCTTTAATTATCTAACATACATTTTGAACATGAAATTAAAGAAGCAGACATGTTTGGGATATTTAAGCAGCTTTTTGGGGGAAAAATGGTTATGGTCTTTTTTTATTTTCAGTTAAGAGAAATAAAAGGAAACTCCAAATTCCTGTTCATTCAAGGTTTAAAAAAAAAGAGTTCTAAGATAATTTTATTTTCTAGATAGCCAAAGAGCCAAAAGTATTACTGAATTTAGCATATTATTCCTGAGAGCAGGTGCCGTAGAAAACCGCTGTCATCAGATTCTCCGTGGCCAAATCCCAGGGGTTCCCCCACGCCGTTGCTTGGTTAGTCGTATCCGCATCACCTGAGACTCTTGTTTAAAGGACACAATCCTGCCTCTGTCTGAACTTACCGAATCAGCATCTTCAGGGCAAAGTCCAGTAATTTGTCATTTTAAACAACTGTTTCAGAAAATTTGATGTTTTGTTAGGTCTGAGATGTCACAATTCACTTTTGCCAATTTAAGGCCCTGAAAAGACTTACCATGTCTATTTTTGTTTATTCTGGTGTTTCTCATTTCTCCTCTAACATTTGTTAAGGTCCCACGTAACGGATGTTCCTTGGAGATGCTATTCTGTCATGCATATAAAATTTTGCATTATCTTTCCTGGAGATTAGTTTCAGGGATATAGAAAGGATTTTTGCTCTCTAGATCTTCACATTTTTATTTTCCTCTCTCCTGTGTCCACTTTGTTCAGAACCTCCTTTATAAGTATTGTATGAACCATACCATGTGATATCTATATCTACACCTATGTCATCTATATCTATGAAACTAGTTAGATTCTAATGTGATTCAGGATGACTCATTTATATTCTGAACGGATCAGTGCATTGACTTAGTCAATGAAATAAATGGTTCAGAGAGTAGCCCCGGATCATTATCCTCTGAATTCTTTCTAGAAATCTTGAGTCCAAAGTCCTCAAGGGTAGGTACTTTAGGAGCTTCAAGAATGTAAAACTAATTTAAAACATAAAACTTACGAGTTGAACTGAACATGGGCTTAAGGTAAATGGGTGTTAATAGAATGGTTGTCCAAGTGCCAGTTCAAGACTGGGCTTCCCTGAGAGCGCAGGGCCTCTGAAATGAGGCTGCTTAGCTGGTCTGCTGTTTCAGGCAGCCACACCTCACCTGGACAACCCATTTTAAGAAAAGCATAGGCAGTTGATACTACTTGGAGTGAAATAACCAGACTGGTGTGTGAACTAGATATCATGTCACATGAGAAGTGGCAAAGGGCTTGGTGAAGTTTAATTTAAAAAAACAGTTGTCTTAAAAGGGACATTAACGTTCTCCCTTTATGTTTGAAGGTTCATGTGAAAAAAGAAATAGATATGTATAATCTGTGTGGCTTTAGAATGTGGAAAATTGAAAAGAGAAAGCATTATCTTTATTTTTAAAAAGCTTCCAAATAGTGCTGTCCATGTTTAGAATATGTTCAAAGCCTTTGAATTTAAGGCGTGATAGAGATACCTTCACAAAAGTGAGGCATCCAAACATGGTTGTACTAGATAATCTTGGAATAATCATGGAAACTAGATCTTATCTTCATTCGATTCTCATACCACTGGCTTTGGAGCGGAAGAGCTGCATATACTCCTTTAAATGAAATGTAGGCATCATGGGCAGGAAGGGGTTGGGAAGTAGTAGTAAGAAGGACCCTCTCTCAAAATAGAGAAGTTATCTATAAAGTCATCTTTATAGACTTATGACCCATTGAGCCCAGAGACCCATATCTGTACCCGATCTGCAATATCTCAGTGGTCTGCAAGGATAATAAGATTTTCATATTTCCCTTAAGGAGAGTCCATGGTTGAATCTGGTTGCATCAAGGGGATTGGGATGAATTCTTTATTTCCTCTGTGCTATTCTTCCTTCACCTGCAAATATCATAAAAACCTATATGGTCAACATGGTTTCTAATGTCACAATTTATCATTGTTTACAAAAAACATCAAATACTGGATAAGAACACAGAATTCACTGTAATAGGCACATGGTTGCCATCTTTAACTAGCTTGCAGTCATTTAGGTAAAGAGAAGACGCATCCCACTGGTCAAGTATGATACTGTGGAGCCACAAAGGAGTAGGGCTCTGAGTTTGCCACAAAGCATCAAAGAAGACTTCTCAAAGCTGTTGAAAGATGAATAGATGTTTGTTAGGCAAAGAAAGTTAAAGAATATGTATACATTTTTTATCCTCACCCAAGAACATGCTTGTGGCTTTTACAGAGAGGGGAAGGGAAATAGAGAGAGAGAAAGAAGGAGAGAAACGTCAATGTAAGAGAAAGGTTGCCTTTCATAGGCACCCTGACCAGGAATTGAACCCACAACCTTTTGGTTTACAGGGAAACACTCCAACCAACTGAGCCACACCTGCCAGGATGAAAATTGAAGAATATTCTAATCAAAGTGTCAAAACAAAGGCACGGGGGCAAGTAATAATAGATCTCGTTTGGGGGATGTTAAGATGTTCAATTTGATGACTGCTTCCCATGCACAGGGGAGCACATAAGACACAAAGATGGAGAAGTTATATAAGCCACATTGAGGCAGGCCCGGTGAGCCAAGCCAGGGTGCTGTAACCTGGGATGAGCTCCTGAAGAAGTCTTTTATACAAGAAATAAGCATGTGGTTTGTTTCCAGAGTTACTACCAAACTGTAGTATCTAGAAAGTCTTTGAGTTGTTAGAGGCTAATGTAGAGACCATTTAGGAAATTTTCATCATAGCCCCAGAATCCAAATGAGTGTCTTCTCCAAGATAGGGTCTCCCTGTATGAATGCCCCATGGACATGGACAACAGAGTGGGAACTGACTGTGGGAGCGGGGGGCGGGAGGGGATGGGTGAGGGAGGTAAAGGGGGAAAAACTGAGACAACTGTAATAGAATAAACATGATTTATAAGTTTAAAAAAATTAAATTAAAAAGAAAAGGTAGAGTCTCTATGAACAGAGGAACAGGTATGGAATTGAGATTGAATTATTAGATATGGGGATGACAGGAGTTAATAATGACCACAGGTTTCCTAGATTGATAACCAGCTGTCTGTACTCCTACCTGAGAGAAGTTAAATGGGATATTATCTTAAATAGCAAAATCGGTAAGAGGTAAACAATTGGAAACCTGAGCCTGATTCTCTAAAACAATATCAAGTCTAGGGCTGAAAATGGGACTGGGAATTATTAATCTCTAGCATATATATGAATGAGGGTTCAAATCAAGCAGTGAGTTGCAGACCCATGGAAATGGTGTGGAAGAATGAGAGAAGAGAGCTGAGGAGAGGCAGCCACAACAAATGTCATCACTTAAGATGGAAGTAAAAGATGAGGAAAGAGTAGAAAGAAGAGTAAGAGGAAAACTTGGGTTTTGACTTTGCTTAAGGGAGGAGCATTAATAATATCAAGGTGGCTAAGAGTAAATCCTTTAGTAGGATAAATACTGAAGAGATGCCAAAGGTTTTGTCCATTCACACAGTGGTAGTGGGGTTTTAGGTGAAGAAGACAAACCTAAAGAGTGGGGAAAGGTACCATTGTCTGGATATTTGTGGTAAAACAAGGGTGAGAGATAAGTTAATGTGATGGGAAATTTTTGTTTTTCATGTTGGTAGAGTATATGTCTGAAGTTCATAGGCTCAAACATTGCTAATTATATGCTTTTTAGCAATCAGCTTTTTAAAAATCAGTATCTTGTGGTCATGTCTATATTAAGAAAGGATAAGCTTTCATTATTATCAATAGTTATATACCATTCCATTCCACAGATGTATCATAATTTATTAAACCACTTTCCTGTCATTAAATATTTTCATTATATGTATAAATTTGCATTTCTTTCTCTGTGTATGTGTGTTCAAATTCTTTTTAATTTAAACTTATTGAGATGATATTGGTTAATAAGATCATACAGGTTTCAACTGTAAAATTGCATTTCTAATGCAAATACCTGGTGAGGGGTATATGTGTGCATCTCTGTGCCTTTTGTGTGTGTGTTATGTGTTTGTGGGTGAGTGTGCTTCATTTAGAAAGAGCCTAATTTGGATTGATTTTAGTTTAAATTTAAAAAATTTTAATATGTATGGTATCCCATGTATTGTTAAGTTATCTTCTTATATTATTACATACCCATAAGTACCTATTAGTTAGGTGCTATGATTGTGCACATCTTAAAATTTAGTAAAGTGAGACTTAGAAAATTTAAATAACCAACTAAGGCTCAAA